TTGGTTACAGAACACAGTATACACACTAACTTAGTAGCAATTATTATTCGCGTATGAATGAATCGCGAGCTTCACAGCCGTGGGTGTATGATATATATATATATACATAATATATTTGAACGTTGACACACGAGAGTCGAGCGCGCGTGCCTTTTTTCTCGTTTCCTTATGATTTAATTTCAAGTTTGAAAATGTATGTATAGCGCGGTGTACACACTGCAGTGTATACGTATTACGGAACCGCACACTATATATAGGTGACGCGTGCCGAGAAAAGTCACACGAAATAAAATAATATATTATTAAGTTATCGTCCTGCCGCCACCGTCAACAATCGCACCAAAAACTACATATATAATATATATATGCCTACCCATATCAAAAATACATTTTAGTTTACACATTATATAGGTATACGTTTGAATATTATAATATCACACACACACATACAGTTTCATAATATTATATTTGCACGCGAAGTCTCTTGTTGACAAACAATCTTGTGAATATGTAAATCATACACACCATTCCGATTCGAGGGTTTTCGAGTTTCACTTAGGTAATTAAGATGTACGGCGTACGTTTTATACTATGCCATGTTTGTTCGTTCGGATATATATTATATATATATACCTGTACGCACATATACGAATCTCCTCCCCGCTCGAGTTTATCGTAAACGCCATTAAACACTCATACCCGACCCTCCCCCCCCAACAACCTACTGGTAGTTCATAAATCGTATACTCCAGTGTATACAACAGCAGTTGAGTAGTGTATAATGTAATATAAAATATATAATATTTACGCGCGGGATGTGTCGCAAAATTATTATACACTGCAGAACCTTTGCTCATTTCGAAGTAACGCGTCTCGTGTACACGAATAAAACCGTAATGGTAATTATTATTTTACGCGAGTCTATCTCGTCGACTGAGAAATAATATTACTATCAAAATATACGAGATGATATATATATATTTTTTTTTTTACAGTTCGGTGGCTGATATCCTGCGAATTCAACACGTATCATGTAAGTACAGCGGAGCGTTTATACATATACGTAATGCGTATTGCTATTATATGTATATGTACAGTGAAAAACAAATTATATGTTCAGTTGATTTTAAAACTTAAAACTTAAATGCAGGGTGATAGTGTGTCAGTGTGTGGTATACATACTACATATACACAGAGTTTCTAGTGGTTCTATAGATTTCTTTCTTGTTATTAGCA